ACTTGTTCCTAGAGAATTTCTACCTTTTCCTAGAGAATCCCTACTTGATCCTAGAGAATCCCTACCTGTTCCTAGAGAATCCCTACCTGTTCCTAGAGAATCCCTACTTGTTCCTAGAGAATCCCTACTTGTTCCTAGAGAATTTGTACTTTTTCCTATAGAATTTCTACCTGTTCCTAAGAATTCTTACCTGTTCCTATAGAATTTCTACCTGTTCTTATAGAATCCTTACCTGTTCCTGGAGAATCCCTATAATCCCACAGTGCTGAGCGGCACCGCGGGGGCCTGAGATGATCCCGCAGGGGAGGAGGGAGGATCCCTCGCGCAGGAAATGTCATTTTGCCAGGGCAGCTCGTGCAGCTGAGGCAGCCGGAGCTCTAAAAATAACCCCCTTTGCCGGGACACATTTGGGGCCGCGGGGTTAAGGGGCAGGAGCAGCAGGAAGACACGGGGACAAGGACAAAGGGTGACCCTGCCAGCCCCGGGCTGTGCCACAGGACACCGATCCCTCCTCCCGCCCTTCCCGGGGGCGACCCGGAGCGCCGGGAAAGCCCCGTGTCCCCACAGTCCCCCCTGCTCGTCCCCAGGGAGCGAGTGGCTCTCTATTAATAACCCCCGATGACACCGCTCCGCATCCATCCCCCATCCCGGCGGGATCCGCGTCCTCCCTCCCTCCCTCCCCGCCTCTTAAAAACAGCAGCAGCGCCGCCGTCCCCCCCCCAAAACGCGCTTCACCTGCCAGCTCGGCGCCGTGCCCGTCGGCATCCCCGTACTCGAACTCCAGGTTGGGACAGTCCACGGAGCCCTGCGGGGAGCGGGACGGGGTGAGCGGGGCGGGCTGGCACATCCCTGCGGGAATCCCGGGAGGCGGGAGGGGAGGGAGGGCCGCCGGCTCCCCCGGCTCCGCTCCGGGTGGGTCCGCGGGGCTCGGGAGACTCCAAACCCCGCGGAAAAATGTGGCGGGCGAGGGTAAAAAAATGGCAGTTCCCAAGCCCGGGAGGGGGGGGGGAAGCAGCGGCAGGACCCGGAGCGCCGGCGGATATTCGGATGCGTTTCACAGCCCCCCCCAAAACCCGAGCCTGGGGCTGGTTCCGAGCAGGAACCCCCGGGAGGACGCGGCTCCACCCTGAGCGCCCCAAGACCCGGCAGCTCTCGGGGCCGGGCTCTGCCTCTTTGAAGCCCTCGGTGCGGGTTTATCCCCCTCCTTCCCCCGCGGAGGGAGGAACTGGAGCGTGAAACTCGGCCGGAGGATCCCGGCGGGGCGGGGAAGGGGCGGCCGCGCCCGCGCGGACCCGGCGCCGACCCCCGGGAAGGGAACACACGGCTGGGTAATTAACCCAATTAACGCGATTCCTCCTTCCGAATCCCGGCGTTCCCCCCCCGCGGCGGCCGGGCTGGAGCTGCTGCGCGTCGCCGCCCTTAATGTTGATGAGCCGGGAGGACTCGTGGCCCCGGGCTGAGCTCGCCTGCACCAAAACCGCCGGATTCTCACCCAATTTCGGCAGCCGAGCCGAGCGAGGGTCGGGGAGTTAAAGCCGCTGAGGAATTCGGCCGAGCGCGTGCAGCCCTAATCCGCTTGGAGAGGCCGGGCCGGAGGATGTTGGGGGGGGGGAAGCAAACCCCAAATTCACGAGTTGCGGGGCCACGGCTGGGACGCCGTCCCCCAGGAAAAGGGACCCTTTTTTGGGGGTCAGGGAGACGCAGCTCCGGGGTGGGGGAGCCAAGTCTTTCCGTCCTGTGCTATGGGGACCCCGCGGGGGCTTTTACGGGGACCGGGGACAATGTCCCGGGCTGGATCCTGGTGATTGATCCCGGTCCTGCTTCCCCAGCCCGGCGCTCAGAGCAGCCCAGGGGGGTTCGGTGGTTCCCCCCCGCCCCGGGGTTTTTCGGGCAGGAGGGGTGAAGGGTTGGGGGAGGGAACTGTGGCCTCCGGACCGTGGTGAGAGGGGGGTAAGTGGGTGCCTGGACGGTGCGGGGGAGCCCAGGGTCCAACTGGGACCCCGAAACCCTGGTGCACCTCTGGGAGTGGGGCAGGGATGAGCCAGTGCCGGAGCTTAGCTGGGATCCCCAAACCCTGGTGCCAGCTCTGGGAATGGGGCAAGGAAGAGCCGGTGCTGGGGCTTAGCCGGGATCCCCAAACCCTTCTGCTGGATCTGAGAGTGGGGCAGGGAGATGCCAGTGCTGGGGCTCAGCTGGAAACCCCAAACCCTGCTGCTGGAGCTGCCAGTGGGATGAGGATGTTCCAATAGCGGGGGCAGCCCCCCTGGGGACCCCCCAGTCCGGGCTGGGCACCTCCCGCCCGCTCAGAACCCCTCTAACCCCGAGGTCGGGGTGAGGACCCCCCCTCCCCGAGTCCGAGAGCTCCGCCAGCCCTGGATAAAGCCCCTCCCGCGGGGCAGGGACTCCCCCAGCCCACGCGAGGTGCCCTCGGCGGTGCCCCCCGCCCGTACCTCGGACTCCTTGCGCTGGGTCCTGAAGAGGTCGCGGCCCTTGGGCTGTGTCTGCACGGGGGGCTGGGGCTGGGGCGGGGCCGGGCGGGCCCGGCCGGGTCCCGGTGCCGTTCCCGTTCCCGGTGCGGGGGTCCCGCCGCCTCCCGCCGCCTCCATCGCTGTCACTGCCCCGCCGAGCACGTGGGGCCGGGGCCGGGACACGCCCCCTCGGCACGCCCCCGACGGTCCCATTGGTCCGCAGGGAGGGGGCGGGGCCAAAGAGACACGCCCCCCTCCCCGCCATTGGCCAGCGGGGGAACGGGGGGCTGGGAATAGGGGGGGGGCACCGGGGGGGGGAAAGGGGTTTGGGGGGATATGGGGTGTCATGGGGGGTCATGGAATGTTGGGGAGGGGGCGTTATGGGGTGTCCCGGGGGTGATGGGGTGTCCCAGGGGTCATGAAATGTGGGGGAGGGCGCGTTATGGGGTGTCCCGGGGTCGTTAGGAACGTGGAATGCAGCGATGGGGTGTCCCTGGGCATGGAATGCTGGGGAAGGGGGTTATGGGGTCCTTGGGGTGTCCTAGGGGTACTAAGAGCATGGAATGCTGGGAGGAAGGGGGCTGTGGGGAGTCCCTGGGATGCTGAGAGCGTGGGATGCTGGGGACATGAAATGTTGAGAAGGGGTTATGGGGTGTCCTTGAGGTGCTGGGAGCACGGAATATTGGGGAGGGGGTGTTAAAAGGATGTCTCTGGAGTGCGGGGAGCATGGAATGCTCCGGGAGGGGCGGTTATGGGGTGTCCCTGGGGGTGCTGGGAGCAGCCTGTGGTGGCTGGAACGGGGGTGGGACAGAGGGACTCCCACCCCCCCTTTCCTCTTCCACGCCCAGCACAGGAGTTTGGTGATTTTGGGGTCACTGGGGAGGTGCTGGACACCCCTTCTTGGTGCTGCTCGTGTCCTGTGTCCTTCCACAGCCACGGGAAAACCACGGGAACCCCAAGTGTGGGGGTGGGAATGTCCCCGTGCAGCGGGGAGGGGACGGGGCAGGGGGGAGATAACGGGATTTTTCCGGCACCGCTTCCCCAAGGACACAACGGCACCGGAGCCAAAACAGCTCCGGCTGCCCCAAGGACGGGCGGAGCTTCCCCAGCCGGGATTATCCAGCGGCACTGGGAGCTCAGGGCTTTGGGAACAATCCCAAATCCCACCTCTCACCCCCAAACCCGCTCCCCCCCCACCGTGTGCTCCCAAAGGACGCAGCAGGAGCAGCCGAGTTTTCCCATGTTTTATTTGTGTTTTGAGATTACAGAGTCTTTATTGCTGATCTAATACAATCACTCAGACATTAATATTTAAAACATCCTTTTGAAATGTTACGGGTGCGACGGTTCCGTTCCCTCCCTGCTGATGACGGGTTTTGCTTTGTTATTCCTAAAAGTTCAGGACAGAATTAAATTTCCTTTATTTTATTCCTTATTTTGCTGGTGTTGCCTAAAAATCTCCTTTTTTTTTTTCCTAAAGTCTTGGAAAAAAAAAAAAAAGGGTAAAATAAAAAAAAAAAAAGATAAAAGAAACCAAACCCCATTAACATTTAATTTAGAGATGATCACAGGATATGATTCCAGGTTGATTAGGAAAAAGCCAAGCGAGCCAAGAAGCTTTACAGGAGCAGCAGAACACGGAGAAGAGTTTGGAGAATGGAGGTGGGAAAGGCCAGGTGGGATTTTATTACTGATATTTTATTTTTTTTTTTCCCCCTCTTATCTACCTGGAAGATGAAAGGGGCACGGAGGGATCCGTGGATCAGCAGCACCACTGGCTGCGGCACGGGATGGGAAAAGTGGAGGCAGGAGCTGCTCCGGAGGGTCCTGGGGGTGGAGAGGGGTTTTCCCGGGATGGTTGGGACACCTGCTCTTCCAGGAGCTGCCCATATGTGGCCCCACAACCACCCATCACCTCGGCCAGGAGCAGATTCCAGGCGGGGCTGACACAGACCGGGGCGGATCCGGTGCGGGGAGAGACCCGGACGGGACGTTTCCAACGGCTCAGGGGGACTCTTCCCAAAAAAAAATCTCAGGATCTGGATAAAACTCGTGGGCAGAGATGACTTCAAGTCTGTGGTTCGAGGTCAGTCTGTGATGAAGCTCCTCAAAGCCTCAAGGTCTCCTCAGAGACTTCTCAAAGCCCTCAGGTCTCCTCAAAGCATGAAGGTCTCCCAGAGGTCTTCCCAAGGTCTCCCCGAGGTCTCCTAAGGCCTCCAAAGGTCTTCCCAAGGTTTTCCTTACAGGTTTTGAGAGATTTTAGAGATGAAATTGGAATATGCTGACACAGGGAACATTTGCTCCAGAGCTTGTGACCCAGTGGAGTTCAGATCCCCCGAGAGCCACGAGAAGGACTTGGATGCCGAGACCGTAACTCCACAGTTTTTCCTTCCTTGTGCGTGAACGAGCTGCCACAAAAGGGTTTTTCATGATGGCAAAGAAGCCCAGGAGGACAAAACACGACTCTGTAGCTGATGAGAGGCTTGGGAACCAAAGCAGCAACCAGGGGATAAAGGGGTTTGTGCTCACAAGGTCGGGCAGTTTTATTTTAGACGGATCATGTTCTCCACATGGATAGTGAAAGTGACTTGGGAAGTCACCTTGGGAAGCGTGTCAGCGCTCCAGAGGGACATCCTGGGATAAAGCAAGGAACTATGGCCAATTTATTCTCCCTCAGCTCTGATGCTTCAAGATCTGAGGCGACTGAAGGGTTTCAGTGACACTGAATCCGCGCGGAGGATCCTCCACCAGACGTCTCATCCACTCCAGGGGGGGGTTCCCAGATCCATAAACGAAGTAATGAAATAATCAACCCAGAAAAGAAAACTCCAAACACTTCCAAGGAGGATTGAAACGCAGCTGGAGAAAGCCCTGGCGCGGACACGGGTCCCCCCCCAGCCGGGATGTCCGGGGAGCTCTGCCCGGTTTGGGAAGAGCTCCCAGTGCATGAGCAGCATCTTCAGGGGGAGCTCTTCCAGCAGCACAGCGGGAGCTGCCCTGGCTCCCCCCGGGAAGAACACGGCTTTGGTTGATCCAGAGAGGTTGGCACTGGGAACGAGAGCAGCAGGAAAACGCTGCGGAGCTGCGGGAGCGGCGCTGGGCTCTGCCCGCCCGGCTCCTCCCTGCCCAGACCCTTCCCCGCAGCTTCCAGCAGCGCTAAGGCGACGTTCTCCGCAGGGTTGGGCGGCGCCAGCCCCCGGAAAGTTCCACAGCACGGACGAGAGGCTTCTCCAGAGGGATCCACCGGGGCGGCTCCGGGCAGGCGGCGGCGTCCGGCCGCTCGCCGGAGCCCGGAGCCAACGAGGTTTTTGGCTTCGTCATCCAACAGCAGGAGAAATGCAAACCCATCCCGGGATCCCGCGCCGCTGGAAGGAGCACTGGGACATGGAGGGGACCAACGTTGACTTCCGAGTCGGACCCCATGGCTCCATCCAACGGATCATCCCACGGCTCGATCCCACCGGCTCCTTCCTCATCCTCCCAGCCCCGAGAAAGAACGAATCCAAAGAGAAAAAACGAAAGGAACGGGAAAAGAAATCCAGCGTGTCCCAGTCCCGCGGCAGCACGAACACCAGTGGCAGAGGCCGCATGAACAGTATCCTAATTTAATAAATAAATAACCTAAAACACACGGTGACTACGGAGCAAGCCCGGCTCGAGCGTGGGAAGCTTGCGCGGGGTCATCCTGTACAGTAGTTGAGAAGAGACTTGGGCGCTTGTTCCCCGCCATTCCCGGGGATCCAGCGGCAGGAACTCAATATCTGGGGAGAAGGAGAGAAAAGGGGGGTTGGTGAGTGGATGGGAAGGGAAGTGAAGCTCCCCCGGCATCGACACGGTGGATTTTGGGAGGGGGAGAGGCCAAGGGAAGAACTGGTGGAGGAGGGATTTGGTCCTCGTTGCCTCCGAGGGCATTTCCACCCCGTGGTGGAATGTTTGAGGAATGTTTGAGGAATGTTTGAGGGGTGTTTGAGGGGTGTTTGAGGGGTCATGGCTCTCCCTCAATGCTGAGACCCTCCCCTGATCCTGGATCTCTGTGTGTGGGACAAACCACACTCCTCACAAGGTTGGGCTACACCACACACCAAAACCAGGCAGAGAATTAAACCAGAGGGAAGAGATTTAAACCAGAGGGAAGAGAATTAAACCAGAGGGAATAGAATTAAACCAGAGGGAAGAGATTTAAACCAGAGGGAATAGAATTAAACCAGAGGGAATTCCTTCCACGGCCATGTGAAGCACCAGAATTTTGCACATAACGGGAGCATGGAACAAAGCTCAGGATTTGGCAAAACCCACTAAACCCCAGACTGGGAGTGCTCTGGTTCTGGAGATCTTCTCTCCAAAGACCTGCCCACCAAGAAATTGCCTTTTCCTGCAGGAAAAGGATCTGGGCTTCCCCCCCCTCCCGACGAGCTGATCCGTGTTTGTGCAAAGCCATTTCCATGTTCACGGCGGGAATTCACGGCAGCGTTGGCCACCAACAGAAATCTGGGACGGGAAGCGACCCAGGGGCTCGTATGGAAAATTATTATCATTATTATTTTTGGGAGCTGAGCCCATCGGAGCAGCCGCCCCGGGGGCCAAAGCTGCTCTGTGCCAACTCATCCTCGGCCCAACTTTAAAAATAAAGCTGTCGCTGGGCCGGTGGCATCGCTCTGGCATCTGCCACGTCTGGTGACAGCTGCTGCCACCACAAAGGGCTCCCGTCCTGCCAAGGGTCCGGGACTGGTGGGATTAAAGGCCACGGCTGGGGGCAGGGGCAGCACCTGTAGTAGTTTGGTTTGAAGGGTCCGTTCTTGTTCAGCCCCAGGTACTTGGCCTGCTCGTCCGTCAGCTCCGTCAGGTGGGCGTCGAACGTCGGCAGGTGAAGGCTGGCCACGTACTCGTCTGGAACACCCCACACTCCGTCAGTATGGCCCAGGGGACGGCCACCAGTCCCCTGGGGCCGGGGCAGAACCCCCCAGACACCTCTGGCAGGTGACACCTCACCCCTGCCTCAGAAAACACCACTCCCACCACGGAGCCCATTTGTGCAGCCAAAGCGTGGTTGTGTCCTC